CTACCCCTACCGTTGCCATCAGCGGTCCATTCTAGATGTCGATGGTGTATTCCGAACTTGATTAGTTTAGCTTATTTTTCCCCTAGATGTTGGCAGTTCTGTAACCGAGAAGTGTTCCGAACCCGTCGGCTGTCATAACTCGTAACCAATAGAAGCCAGTAGCTGAGTTTGACGGCCGATGGGTAAGATGGGTTCGGAACACTTCTCGGTTTAGTTACGGAACTGCCAACATGTAAGGAAAAAATAAGCTAAACTAATCCGGTTCGGAATACACCCCGTATGTAACATGTTTCCCGTGTTTTTCGCGGCAGTTGTACGGCCATTTTACATAAAGTTGTTTAGTTTATTCATTCAATGCTGTTATGAAGAGTATTAATATTATACTTATGTTAATGCCGAGACACTGCGGTGTTTACTAATTTTTTCGCTTTTGATGTAACTTTGTGCGTGTGTCGTATAATTTCTTCAAGCTCATGTCGTACAATCGTTAAGCTCATGTTGTTCAATGCTCATGTTGTATAATCGTTAAGCTAATTATGTCGTTCAATGATCTTTCATGTAATGAAAAATTCTTTTTACGATTTTGTACAATAGCCGTGCTTGTGTCGAACTTCTAAAGTGAACTGCCTGATATACAAAAATTTTTATCATTTTGTCACTATAATCAATCGATATTGTTCTTTCGACTGTTATATGCTTCATTGTAGTCAATGTAAGTACAATAATGAAAAATATGTTTTTTATTGGATGTTTACGTATAGTTAGAATATTAAATTGCATTATTCTTGTAAAATTCCTCAAATTCGGTACTTTTACTTCGGTTACGGTTGCCAAATTTGCAACCGTGCTCATGAGCGTGGCGCAACTTCGTAGCGCGTTCGCAGTCAATATCCTCCGACTTCCGATAATTTTAATCGACAGTCCGTTCAGCCTTGGAAAAAACCGAGATTTTTTCCTCGTCCGAACGTTCTGGTAAACGACAGAAGGTCTCGACAACCGATAATTGAGCGCCAGGCACGACTTTTATTTCAAGAAAATTAGTAAATCTGATATTTGATTCATTATACGAAATTTTTAATTAATGTGTGATAACACTTCTGCAAATGTAGGTGAATAGAAATAATATCAATGCATTTTTATGCTTATTACTAAATACATTCGGTATCACATTGTATTTTTTCTACAGGTTCTACTTTTGTGCAAAAATACATTATGTAACTTTGTAAAAAGTATTTATACATAAACAATATCTTTATTTTTAAGACCGTATATGTGAGAAACACTATACTAGAAATTTGAGAAGCCTATTACGGTCGAAGCTTCGTTGCTTTAATAATTCAATCGTGAATTACTAATATATCCTATATATGTACTTGCATATATACCATATTGTAGTCTTTTTCAAACTGCGCGCCGAATATTATAATAAAATTTATTAACAGTTTTTAATGCATTAATATCTTTATAATATATGATGCTTGATGGTAGCATCAAATTATTAAATTGCTTGTCAATTTAAATTCGCGATTACTAGAGTAGTATTAATTGCGTTTATTTAGTCCGGAAAAATATTCGGCGCGCAGTTTGAAAAAGACTACAATATGGTATATATGCAAGTACATATATAGCATGTATTAACGATTGAATTATTAAAGCAACGAAGATCCAGCTTCGACCGTAATAGGCTTCTTAAATTTCTAGTATTGTATTTATACATATATTTATATATGAAATATGTCCATACATGTTTATACATCCTCTTTTATTTACAGATGCAAGTTATTCCTGGAAAACGGAAGGAGACATTTATTTATATATATGATGATTATGTATACCATGTAGACAGTCGTTGTGATACTATTTTTCGATGTAACACACGTCGAACGACGAAATGTCGAGGTTCAGTCATACTTCAGCATGATAATAGTGTGCATGTTTTACAAGAACATAATCATCCAAGATCACCATTTGTTAAAGAACAAATTGAAATGAAAGAAGAAATGCTAAAGCTTTCTCGCGAGACTTCTACTGGATTAAAAGAAATCTTTGATACAATGTCCAGAAGGTAAAATTATTTGATATAACATAACTTGAAAAATATTTAATGAAAAAATATTTTATTATAGTATTTTGAAAAACTCTCGACATCATCTATTAGATTCTGGTATAAAAAACGAGATGTCCTATTTACAAAAAATCAATGTAACCTTGACCGTGACGCTATCCAAGATCAAACCGATGTGATCAATAAATAGATTTTTTGAACTCTACAACTTTTGTTTGGAACATTTTTGTCATGAATACTTAGTTTCCGAAATATTAAGAGGTTTCCACACTTTTGACAGACTCTGTATATAATACATGTGGTATATATATTAATTTTATGAGGGTATCCCATTTTAATTTCTCCAGACAAATATCTCGAAAAATATCGAAAATATAGAAAAATATTTTAGATAAAAGTTGCATGATTGGAGAGGGCCACATGATTAAAATATAGATTTGACCTTTTCAAGGCCAGGTCAATATGATCGATATTTTGTCAAATGGAACCCCCATTTTTAATTTTTAATATTTTTATAGCTTACCTCGAGAGTTTTTCAAAACACTACAATTAAATATTTTTCCATTAAGTACTTTTCGAGTTATGAAGCTTAAAATATTTACAATATTGTTTGCACCAACATTACCCTAAGTGTCCGACCGACGACTAAAACTTCTTGAATGTTATTTAGGATTATGACTTGAATAAGATTGATCAAGATCAAGGCTGTTGAAATATATTTATTATTCTTGATCACTTAAATTTTTACAATTCGCGAACTTCTATAAGCACCGACGGTCTTTAGTAGTATCTCATCCACGACAGCTTTTTAGGACGATATTCATAGTTCTTATTTTAAGATCGTCTTATGTAATGAGCTGTGATGGACTGGGCCGGGATTCTCTAAACGTTTTATCGACAATTGTCGCTATTGTTAACTAGCGAGAACCAATGAGAACCACGCTTTCTTCCAGGATTGTCTCGCCATTGGCTGTCGCTAGTTAACCATAGCGATAATTGTCGATAAAACGTTTATATCGAATTCGGCAGACTGCACTAGTGCGCACTAAGTCTGGATCCTCATACGGGCAACAGCGCTTTGACACAGAACGCTGTATGAGGATCTAGGCTAAGTGCTAACATTTTAGTGCTGCACATTCGGATTGAGCGCACTGTATTAGTACGCTCAGATTGTAATCGCCAAATGAAAATGACTCAGTGTAGTGCTGAATTTATATTCGGATTATCCGAATGAACTGAACGAGTTCAAAGAATAGTGTATTGACGTTTCTGACAATGCAGTTTAATATAGCACCAAAATGGTTATGTACTCGCACTGTGTCAGAGCTAGGGATGTCAATATCGAGCAAAAATATCGACTATTAATATATTCAGATATAAAACTATATTCATTCCGAATGAATAGAGATTATATCGAATATATTGCACAGCGAATAGATTAAAAAAATCTCAATTTTTTTAAAACTTACGAACGAAGATCTGTGATATTTAATCATTTGATCTAGAGAAGGCTCCGTTTATTTATAGTCCCAATTAATATTATAAACAATAAATATAAATAACTTCTTTTTTTACGTCTCAATAACTAATCACTAGCCCTTAAATATTAACTCAAAAATGTAAAATAAAAACAAAAGTTAGGAAATATAATTGGTAGAAAATGTATTTAACGATCATTTTTTTTATAAACTCGATACACCTTACTGAGCGCTCTTGTATCTAATTGACATATTTCGTTGGATCTAAAAGTACAGACCAACCAAACAAATGCAAGAACTTACTGAGCGCTCAGTCAGGCTCAGCGTAATACCGACCTACCGACTACTGAATGCACTCAAAACTCCTACAAGTATTCATAAAAATGGAGAGTGAATATGAATAATAAAAAAATGTCTAGTCAATATTTTATTCATAATTTTTTATTTGATATTTTTATATTGAGCAGCAAAAAATATCGAATATTCGATATTATCGAATAACGATAAACATCCCTAGTCAGAGCAGCACCAAAACCGAGTCAGTGCATGTGTGCCGAACTCGCTATTAAGTGAACCGCTTCCGTGAATGAATTATTCCCCTCTATGTTCCTAGTTCATCGTTTTTATTGTATGTTTGTATATTTTTTAACAAAATTCGGTTCCCAATTTTTTATATTTATGACATGTAATTTTTTTCTAGCAATCCGAATGTAGCGCAGTATTTGAGTTTTCCGTCTATAAGATGTAGCATGCATCGTGAACGTATAAAAAGCAGACCACCCATACCTGATACATTGACATCATTACGTAACATTTTGGAACACTGACATAATAAAAAATGTATATAAGGGAAGCTTAATTACAGATAATGAAAAAACTGCAATAATTTTATCCAGCAATTCTTTACTAGAAGCTTTATCGTCCGCTACTGAAATCTATGTCGATGGAACATTTTCTGTAAGTATACAACTTTTCCCTATATAATACTTTAACAAAAAATTATAACAATATTTACAGTATAGCAAACAAATCATAATAATGGCAAAATATTTTAGCACATAATTTTAAATTGGATTATGAAAATAATTATTGTATGTTGTACTTTTTTAAGGTTCTCCCACGTATGCCTCATATGGCACAACTCTATTCTGTACATATACGATATATGAATACAGTAAGATATTTGTTTAATTAAAATTTAATTTATTAAAATTTTTAAAACATACAAATAAAAATAATTTTTCCAGGGCATTGGAACATTATTTATATTATGTGATGTACGTACAACTACTATGTATGATGCTTTATGGGACAAAATTATACAGATGGTATAATTTTATTACACAACTTAAAGAAAACGTTAAGTTTATAATGAGCGATTTTGAAATGGCTGCAGTAAAATCGCTTAGTACAAAATTTCCCAGAGCAAAGTTAACTGGATGTTGGTTCCATTTCAATCAGGTATATGAAATAATTATTGTACCTTACAAAGATAACAATGTTAAATATGTTAAAAACATAAATACGTTAAATTCATTAAATATTAAGTATTAAATATTTCTTAAGTTTAACATTTTTATGTAGTTTTTCTATATTTTAATACTTTTTAATTTATTTTTGTGTAGTTACCTTTTTATATATTTTACCATTTTTTGCCTTCTACTAATTAATGGTATCAATTAAACCAATTGCTAATTGGTATTTATTTTATTGCACTACTTGAACTAAATCACATTGCCTTTGTTTCTTACAGGCTGTGTTACGACAATGGCGAAAACTACGCCTTTCAAATGCTCCAAAAACTATACTTTCCATGACAATGACGTTGCCTTTGTTACGGCCAGATATGTTTCAAGAAGCTATGTCTATTATACAAATCGAAGCTGATATCCTTTCTTGCGAATATCCAGATATTTTACAATTTACATCCTATCTGAGGCGTACCTGGTCAAATATGGC